TATATATACACATACATATACGTATACAAATATATATGTCCGTCCATCCGTTTGTCCTTCCATCTATCTAGATGCTGATTTTCTTTCCCTCACCAACTCCCCCCAGGAGATGCTCCCCTGATCAAACCATGAAATTAACCGGGCCTTCCACAGAACTTTCTGTTTATGCGTGCATGACGACGTGTTGGGTGTGCAGTGGGCAGATGCCCGGGCCACTGCGTGTCGTGTCTCTGGATCAGACGCTCGCTGTGTTATTTCAGCATGACTCACTCTGGAAGTGTTGCTGCACACGCACTCACACTTGACAATCGTTTGGTTGCATTTCTTTGCCTTGCTGAATACATTTATAACTTGTTTAAAAATAAACAGTATACTGTCGTGGACAGCTGCTTAATGTCTGAAGAGATGCATTATGGGAAATGATGACTCCGGTGTTTCAGAGGGATGTTAAAAGCAGAGATAAATGTGCTTCTTCAGATTTACTTCTGAGAATTAATTAGAAGCAATATTTAATGAAACCCACAGCAGCAGAATGATACTGAAGTGAAGCAGTTATAGAAAATTAATTTATCTTTGTCTTCAGCTGATCTTAACCTCGTGTTGCATTTGCAGAATGTGGGAAACAAACTCTTGATGTTGCCTTTGGGCTTCGTTCGGAGCTACAGAAGTGGTTCGATGGTGAAGCGGTTGCAGGTTTAACGTTTGTGGAGTTCACAAGTTCTCTCACGCATACACGGGTTTCCTCCCAGAGTCCAACATGTGCCTGCTGGGTTAGCTGGAGACTCTAAACTGTCCCTATGTGAACACTGGTTTGTCTCTGTGTCCCTGTGATGGACTGGGGACCTGTCCACAGTGTCCCCACCTCCCTCCTAATGACTGCAGGAGACAGGTCCATGAGCCCTGAACAAGAGGGAAAGACGATGGATGGATGATTGAATGGATGGATGATTGAATGGATGGATGATTGAATGATTGGATGGATGATTGGATGGATGGATGGATGAATTGGTGGATGGATTTATGAACGATTGATGAATGGGTGGATGGATGGATGGATGGATGGATGAATGATTGAATGGATGGATGAATGGGTGGATGATGGATGAATGGATGAATGGGTGGATGATGGATGGATGGATGGAGGATGGATGATGAATGGATGGATGAATGATTGAATGGATGGATGAATGGATGGATGATTGGATGGATGGATGAATGGGTGAATGATGGATGAATGGATGAATGATTGGATGGATGAATGATTGAAAGATGAATGAATGGATGAATGAATGATTGATGAATGGATGGATAAATGGGTGGATGATGGATGAATGATGAATGGATGGATGATTGGATGGATGAATGTTTGAATGGATGAATGATTGAAAGATGGATAATGGATGAATGAATGAATGAATGAATGGATAGATGGATGGATGAATGAATGGATAGATGGATGGATGGCTGAATGGATGATGAATGGATGGATGATTGGATGGATGGATGACTGGATGATGAATGGGTGGATGATGGATGAATGGATGGATGGATGACTGGATGATGAATGGGTGGATGATGGATGAATGTTTGAATGGATGAATGATTGAAAGATGGATAGTGGATGAATGAATGAATGGATAGATGGATGGATGAATGGATAGTTAGATGGTTGAATGAATGGATAGATGGATGGATGAATGAATGGATATATGGATGGATGGATGAATGAATGAATGGATAGATGGATGAATGAATGGATGGATGAATGAATGAATGAATGGATGGATGGATGAATTAATAGATGGGTCATTAACTTGGACTAAAGTGAATCTTGTTGGAATAAAACATTTTTTTGGACGAGTGTTTATTTCGTTTTAACGGAGAACGTTTTCGTCTCATTTTGATGTTTTTTGTTGTAGTTTGTGTTTTTATGTTCAAACTCGGATGTTTTTGAACAAAATGTTTTTACTAAGATCTTAACGTACTTAACGAGTATTTACCTCCTCTGCTGTTTACCCCACATCCAGAAAACAACACGTTTAATTTGCTTCTTATTATCCAAACGTCTGCTGGCTCGCCTTCTTATTGATCAATCGAAAATCTGTTGTTGTTACTAATCATATCGCTCTTATCGGTTTCTGATCAGACGAACTCGTGTGGAACTCGATAAATTGATGTGAACCTCACATTAAAACTGAAACAAACGTTATATTGATGTTGTTAAATCACATTTGCAGCTTTTAAACCAAGAACAGCCTCGACTTTAAATCTAAAAGCAGCTGAAACAAATTCACAATTTAAACCCCACGACGCCGTCCTGAAGTTCGTTTGTGTCGTTTGACGAGTTGTAGACGGCTCTAACGAGCGGAGCCGTTAACGAGCCTGAACATCTGGTTTAGTTTCGTCCTTACCCAGCTTTACGTCTCCGTCCAGCGTGAGCAGGATGTTGCCGGCCTTCAGGTCTCTGTGGATCATTTTGTTTTCGTGGAGGTAGACCAGAGCCTGCAGAGTCTGTTTACACACCACCCGGATCTGGGGCTCGGTCAGGGGTCTCTCCAGTTCTATGAGGGAGGGGTCAAAGGTTAAACGTATGCTCGCTCTGTACAATCGCAGCCTAATCCTAGGCTGTAATCTGGGTAAAACCACAGTTAGTGTCTCAGCCGGTCTGTTTTTGTATTTTCAGCTACAGTCCGAGTGGTTTTCTTGTTGATGATATAACCTGTGAGGAAAATGGAAGCGCTGACTCACCGAGCATGACGGCATCCACAGCCCCCCCTGCACAGAACTCGATGAGGATCTGCCAACGAGAGGAAAACAGAGACTGGATCAATGCTTTTACCAAATCTCGGCTGAAAGTTTATTTCTTTATGTAAAACACATGATTTCATAAAAACTTTTATTCACTATTAACATTTAAGCTGTGACCTTTGGTCTAGAGAGCAGAGCGAGTACCGCTTTGAATAAAACTTGACTGTGAGGGTCTGAACGTTCTCAGGTTCAGAAAGAAGGATTCACTTTTATGGGTAAAATGCAGACAAAGTTGTTGATCTCCTAAAAGACAATTAATCTTTGTATTAAAGTCATGCTTCAAACTTAAGTGTTTGACATTAATTAGGACCACAGAAGCCTTCAGCTTTTCTCCATTCGGCCCGTCTATAGGGAACAAACGACCTCCGGGTTGTACAGTTTGGTTCTGTTCACCACGCAGAACATGGAGCAGACAAGCCAAAGAGCTGTCCGACAACTGAGATGCATGTAGGAGGGAAAACAGCTTCACGTGTCTGACCACAGCTGACAAGATTATTATAAAGAAGAACGTTGATGGACATGGACGCAAGAGGAAATGCAACCCCAGGACATCAGTGTGGACATTAGAAAAAGACCAAAGGAAACTAAAACCATTCAAGAGGTCAAGGTGGTCGTTTTCTGGTCGCACGATTCATCATCACGTGCACCATAGAAACCGTTTAAAAGCTGACAAGAACCGTTGTTTCTGGGACCGATGAGACAGAGCTGGATCGTTTGGCTCCCGTCACGTCAGCTCTGTGTTTACGGAAAGAAAAATGGAGCTTATAAGGTAAAGAACACGTTTAAACCACGGAGGGGGTTTGGTTCTGTTTTAGACCGGCTTCGTTGCATCTGGAACCATCCTGCAGCCGACGTTTGGCCACAAATCTGCCATGAAGAGTGGCACACTTTTCAGCAAAGACTCCTTCGTGCACAAGGTGTGCACGAGCTCCATCCAGGAGTTTCTGGACATTTGACTGATTTAGTGCTTGAAGAGTTGTACAGCTGAATGTCCGAGCGCTTGTCCACATTGACGACCACGCCCACAAACTTCTGACCTCTCTCACATTACCTGGCACACACACCTGAGAGAAAACGTTTGGCCCGGGCCTTGTGTGGAGAAGGGGCGGAGCTACTCTGAGGACAAAAAGACGCAATATTTGTCACGTAACTGCGTCCATGAGAGACGATTTTGCGGTTCCAGATGTGCGACGCAGGGACCTTTACACTGTGTAGAACAGAGGGAGTTTTGTTTTGGTGTTTGTCTGAGGCAGAGCAGAGTGACAGATCCCGCAGAGTGAATGGAGACATTTTATCCACCCCCAGGTGTAATGGCTGAGCCAAGGGGTGGCCAACGGTGGCCTTGACCCCATAGATCAATCTTAAGTCGCCCCAGTCATTTGAGAAAACTATACTTTTAAGCAATATAAAAACTTGAAAGCATAGTTGCCACAAATGATTGGGGTGGTCAGTTTACATATATATATGGTGGCAGCCATCTTGGAATTTGACGTGGCAACCCAATTTTCGATTGGCCCTCTATGCTCCTAAACCTATGAAACAATCTAAATACTGCAGCGTGGAGAAGCTGTCCTTCAAACCGGAGACATCCGGAGCAGTTTGCTCTGTAAGAGTGCTGCTAGTCATGAATTCAGAGGTCGCTCGTTAGCAGCGATCACTGCAAAAGAAGCTGCTACAAAACATTAACGAAGGCTGACATTATTTGAGCCAGTGCTGTCTTTTTGTTTAATTACTGTACAGTATATAAAATATTCAACTGAACCAGTAATGCAAAGTTTAGCACGTGGTAAATATGGAATCAACAATAAAACAAGCTCATTATCATGCACCCAAACTGACCACCTAGCTGAAGCAGTTTAAGAATGAACCTCCACCGTGCACAAACTCATGAATGAAACGGTCTTAAAGGCCTTTGGAGGCCTTCAGTCCGGCTGCTGATGTAAGAGGATTGGCCCGCTTGAGGCCACATTGTGGAGCGTTCCTCGCAGCTGCTCGGTACTTTGCAGCGTACACCAGTAGACCTTCGGCCTCGTTCTGTAAATAGGATTAAACAGGAGCCGACCTGCTGTAATGTGCAGAAGGAAAAGGCATCTGGAGTCTTTATTGCGCTTGAAAATAATTTGAGGAGTGAAAATCTGAACCTGTGAAGCGTCAGAACCACTGAGAAACGTGCGGTTTTGTGTTTTAGCCCTCCGGTCGCTCAGACAAGGTCAACGGGAGTTGATCACTTTGTTTTAAGCTCAGAACGCTCCGATCACAACAGAAAAGACTGAGCCTGAGTGACGTTCCTCAGCTCAGCCGAGCCTTTCAGAACCGCTCCACTTCCAACAACAAAAGGCCCACCTTCAGGACTACAATGGCTGCAGTCTTGGAGCGGTCCTGGCTGGTCCCCGTGCACACGGTTCTAGTGTTTCTGTGGGGGCGTGGTGTTGGTTTAGTGGCCCCCACAGACGGTTTCCAGACAGGAACCGTGGGTCTGGGCCGTGGCTTCCTCTCACTCTTGTTTATCTGACACTGACAGAACTATGAACCCACATTTTTTTTCTGATCCAGTTATGTGGCACAAAGAGGGAGGATGTGGCTGATATCAGCCGAAATAGCAGAGTGATGACAATATTGTTCTGAAACTGAAACTTAAAGCAGCTAAAACGAAACAAATGTGAGCGGACAACAACGTTGAGCAGAGATTTACTCTGATGGTGTCCTGGTTTTTGCTTTTCCCCTCAATCCAACCATGCACGGATACCTTGTGCTGTTTTAACGTTCACATATCAAAACCTTCAGCTCATTCAGAAAATGGAAGCTGTGATTTTTTTTAGTTTACTTTTCAAAATAACTTTATTTGTAAATACTGTTAGCATAGCAATACCTTGAGATCTTTTAAAAGCTTGCAAAATACTGTCAGCACAAACAAGAAAATAAATCACGGAAGAGATGAGCGCCCTGCCAAGGCAAGAGACCTAAGGGAAACACTGAGAACCTCACCCTCCATCAGTTTCAGGGTTTAGGGACCTAATCAGATGGATCTGGACTTTAACAGGTTCTAAACTAACCTCAGGTGAACCCAAACACACAGGACCTCAGAGGTCCAGGATCAATCAGGAGGTTCTGCTGCTCTGGAGCATACAGGTGTGTTACACAATGCCAAGATGAAAAGACATCAGCAAGGACCTGAGAAAAACTGCTGCCAATCAATCTGTGAAGGGTCAAAGGTCATTTAGAGTCCACTGTTCTACAGAGGAAGATTCATCACAAGAGAATATTTCAAACAGCTGATTCACCCTGAAGGTCAGACTGTGCAGTGACTCTACAGGCATCAGTCAGCAGGTCAAAGGTCATGGCCTCTTGTCTCTAAAAAGAACATGGCAGCTTGACTTAGGTTTGTAAAGCTTCATCTGAAGGAACCACAAGACCTCTGGGACAGAACCAGACCAGAATGCACTGCAGCAGACAGCTCCTCCCAGCTGTCAGCACGATGGTGGAAGGCTGATGGTTTGGACTCCTGTCAGTCACTGAGTGGATCAGAACTCCTCTGTAGACCAAAGTGTTCTGGAGTCAGATGTGATGAAATCCAAAAGAAAACCACCACTGAGAGTTCCTGCACCTAAAGGAGGTTCTAGAAGGTGCTGGGTCAGGGGCTGGATCCAGTTTTTCACCCACAGCTTTGACTTTGTTTTTCTGTATTTATCAGATTTTGTCCTTTGATCATAAAGAAGTCAGTTCTGAGTGCTGGAGAACAGAGGAGAATGTGGATGTTGACCCAGAGGGTGTACTAATGGAGGAAAATACACTTTTTTAAATTAATATATTAAAAAAAATTGTCAAAAAAAAAAACTAGTGTAGTTTTTAAACAGAAAATCCTGAAAGGGTTAAAAAAAATTAAATGAGATATTTTTATCTGAGGCTGCAACAGCTCTGAAAGACTTACTAGAATTTGTGGAAAAATATTTTTAAATAACATTTAGAATCAGGTGGTTGAAGAACATGAATAGTCATTAAGTTAAAGGGTTAAAACCGTCTTATTTTGACGTCCATCAGAAAACAAAGTGAAGTTTTAGAGCTGCGTGCATTCAGCTGGGACTGCTGCAAGATAAAGAATAAAGATAACTTCATTGTGAAGTTATTCTTTCTTAGCTCCTTGAAAACGTGTTATCGCTCTACACAAAGTTGAGTGACAGCTGTTGCCGATTATGACTTCATAACTCTTTCCACATCTGTGACGCTGGTTAGACATTTTCATCGGCGATCACCAACAGAACATCTGTTGATGTTGGGTCCAGCCTCCTACTCACAAAGTTACTGAGAAGGCTGCAGGTGGATTATCAGGTTCAGTAAGAATGAAACATGAACCTGAAGGCCTCATGTCAGAGTGGAAGGATTATAACTGGTGTGATGATTAACCGCCCTGAAAGCTGCTTGTTTCTGCCGCTCAGCTGAACTTTGAACTGTTTTTCATAACAACACAACAGAAATGAAATCATTTTATGGAGGTGCTTTTATGAGTGTTAGACGTGAACGCTGAGCAACTTTTGCAATTTGAGTCTCAAAAGATACAAAAAACAAACAACAATGGTAGCAGCGTTCAGTTATTGACAAGATGGGCGGGCGACCATGCAATCACCAGTTTGGGCATTCAACTGTTTCTCTGTTAGCAAAACATCTCATGAACCAGTGTTGAATGTGTGTCAACAACTCATTAACTTTACCCAATTCAAGATGGCCGCAACAGCCAATTAATAGTAGCAAACACAAACGTGGCTACAAGTTCGTTTTACAGAAAGTGAGGTAACTCTGAGCTGTAGTAGTAGCCGACAGTCATCCCTAACACACACCCTGACAGCTAACACACTGATTCTAAAAGCCTAAAAAGTGTATTTTTTCAAGATTAATTAATAAAATATAAAACGATTCTAACGTGAAATATCCAAAATGTTATTAAAATGAACTAATTTAAATAAAAATACCACAAAGCGTTGAACAAACACTCCCTAGCAGTCACAGATCTTTCATGTTGAGTAAAAATATTGTTTTTGTAAAATGCAACAGCTTTATATATGGAGTTATATAATATAATATAATATAATATAATGTAATATAATATAATATAATATAATGTAGAACTTTGTCCTGTTTGACTCACTGATGAAGAGGAGGAGGATGATGCAGACATTTTTTATCTGTTGTTTTGATGATAAAAGTTTTTTGTTTCTGGTGCTCAGCCTTTAGCTGCTTTAACACCAACAGTTCTGTGAAATGTCCACGCAGACAGGCGGCCTTTAAGCTGCTCCTTCAGAACGCTCCAACCGAGCCGCCGGCTTCACGGAACCAAGAGGCGTGGAGCAGAACTCAGCTGTGTTGACGTGGAGCTGTGAAAAAATTAATAAACTAACATGTATTGTTTAAATATTATTTAA